TTATTTTGGTCACTTCTTTTTTCATACAGTTTCTTTCTCAAACATGGTGCGAACTAAATTTGGAAAAATCTTCGAGCGCTGCTTGGATGGAAACGGGCAGTATTTTGTGGCGGCCAGTCATTGCATCGCGCTGAGAAGGGGCTATAATTAGCTTGTACACTCGGGTTTGTATTTCCAACGCTGCCGATGAAAGCCAATCTGAGCTGAACAATACAAAAGCCAGATGTTAGTGGGTGTTGGTGGGTTGTTTGCGCAGTGAGAAAGGGGCTTAAATCTGATATTCACTCTCCTTTTATCTCTGTTTTGGTCCCCACCATCTCTTGAGGGAAATATCTGGCTTTTTAGCTGCTAGACGCTAACTGTATCTGTATGTCTGTCTGTCTTCAAAGGTTAAGATGGTCTCCTTTGTACTGAAACTCTACAGGCTGAATCGGGGCTCAGAACACATCAGCAGGGGGTGATCATCGACAAAAAAATCAACAAAATGATACCAAAGTTAAAGAAAACAAAAGATTATGTAAATCAACACTTGAAAATAAGACAATCATGTTGTAGTCGACAGTATACAGTGGACAGGGAGTGGATGACATCATAAGACAAAGAAATGATCTTTGATCCACACCTCAAATAGCAAAGTAATGACCTGTACTGCAATCTGTTCATCTATGAGGACACACACTTTGTCTGACCTCCTCTTAAATTCTGTTACATCAGCACAACTCTATCACACATATGCACACCCTTGAAAAATGCTTATGACAGGCCACCTCAACTTTTAGCCTTCAGCTACACACCACAAAACCCACACGCACACCCACGTTTACTGTACATCCACACACACACACACACACACATATACACACACACCTCGAGGCCACTCTCCAGATGTTTCTCCAGATGTCACTGGCTGCCACTTCCTGTTATTCTTGCTACACACACACCACGGTAAGCTACTTCTCTCACATTCCTGTTCCACTGATTCTGTCACTCTCCCACTACGAGGTCACGTCGCCTCAGCATGAATAACTAACAGCCAGGGTGGACCAACACACACACACACACACACACACACACACACACACACACACACACACACCTCACATTGTAATTCTTTTGTTTATGTTCACATTTTTAAACAGAGCATCAATACTACGCTGCATAAACATTGTCGAACAGTTGGGTATTTTGTCACATTTCCAATATCACCATTTACTCCTAATTAAGGCTGCAGGAGGCACCTTCTCCAAACATGGCGACTGCCAAAAGCTGTGGACAAACAGCAGTGCCGTGCCAGTACTGAGGCATCCCACACATCTGCAGAACACACAGCACCAATTTATGGACATTCCAGTGACTGCCAAATGAAATCACAGGCAGTCTTCACTCACAAGCTGCGAGACAGCATCAGTCATCTGCACACACTGCAACCACTCACAGTGTGTGATAGGAGCTCAGTTACAGGCAGGGGCGGGGCCAAGGCATTGTTCTGCAAGTCAAAAGTAAGTCTCAAGTCTTTGCACTTAAGTCCCAAGTCAAGTTCCAAGTCAAGACTGACGAGTCTTATGTCAAGTTCCAAGCCAAGATTGACAAGTGTCAAACCAAGTCCCAAGTCAAGATTGACAAGTGTCGAGCAAAGTCCCACATAAAGACTGACCCAAGTCAAGATTTTCAAATCTCGATTTAAGTCCCAAGTCAAGACTGACAGGTGTTGAGTCAAATCCCAAGTCACGATTGACAAGTCTCGAGCCAAGTCCCAAGTCAAGACTGACAAGTCTTGAATCAAGTCCAAAGTCAAGATTGACAAGTCTCGGGTCAAGTCCCAAATCAAGATCGACAAGTCTCAAGCCAAGTCCCGAGTCAACATTGACAAGTCTCAAGTCAAGTCCCAAGTCAAGATTGACAAATCTCAAATCGAGTCCCACGTCAAGATTGACCCTAGTCAAGATTGACAAGTCTTGAGTCAAGTTCCAAGTCAAGATTGACAAGTCTTGAGCCATGTCCCAAGTCAAGACTGACAAGTGCCACATTGAGTCTCAAGTCCTAAACTTTTGTTTAAGAGTTTTAAGTCCATATTTAATTTACAGAAATAATGAATGCTTTTTCAAAATAAAAAAAAAAATTGTTAAAAAGTTACATAGCTGTTAAGCTAATGTTAGCTACACATTAGTTACTATGCTAACATAGTTACTATGCTAACATTAGCCTTGATCTACTGTTCTCTGTGCAACTTCAAATGTTGGAAACATAATAATCAGCAGCATTCTTACACTGAGGTCATTGAGTCCAGATCAGTTTGACCAAAAACCCCAAAGCCACTGAACCATGTGCCCATTGTGTCACTGGGCTTCCTTCAGAAGCCCCAGAAACCAGTTTCTCCACTTTTTGACAGGGACCAAAATGAGACAAATATCTTTATCACCCTTATCCAACATATTGAGTGAATGGGGCAGTCTTGTGAGCATTTGTTACGCCGAACCCTCCTTCCTGTTTACTACTGCGTGGAAGATAACATCGAGGGTGGTATGAGTGTTTAGTCTAAACCACTCCTGTGCCAAGAAAACTACTTTTTCATTTAGATGCCTCAGAGCAGGGTAAATGGACAAAAATGTTGGACAAGACACCCCGCAGGGTCCTACAATTTCATTGACGGCAGGAGTGATCAACCATCTATGATATATAAAATATAGACTTGCCATTTCCATTCAGCTGCTGTGTTAAATTTATATCCAGAAACCATCGCTCAAGCACACATTCACTGCTGCTGCCTAAACGTAAGACATATAGTATTTAACAGTTATGTTATTAATTAATAGAGGTCTTGCCCAGCATGCACCAGCCATGTGTTAAAAATGTCTCTGAATCAAGGAGAGTTGTAAACCACTTTGAAAACCACATTAAACAGGTAGATAATTCATACAAAAAAGTTTACAGCTACAGCAACAGTTAGAGAAGGTCCAACTCGGCAGCACTGATCAAATATGAACCAAGACTCGAACTGCATTGCCGATTTCTCGCCTCAAATGTTTTCAGAAACATAGTTTAGTGTACTGTTTAGCTGTAAATTGAGAAAGTTTGCTCCAGCTGGTGGGCGGTGCTTCATTTTGGTTTCACTGTTGCCAACATGGCAGCCAGGTCACAAACATTCTCATTTTACAGCTAAACAGTACACTAAAATATGTTTATGAAAACATTTGAGGCAAGGCATCAGCTACGCAGTGACAGAATCTTGATTCACGTTTGATCAGGTTGACTGCAGTTGACCCTTTGCAAATCCCCGTCCCCTTGCGTAGTCGCAGTAAGCATGGTGGCCACGGGTAGACTAACTGCACTCCCTGATGAACTATCATCATATTTTAGGAAAAATGAAAGAATGATTCCAGAGAGAAGCAGACTGAGGGGTCTACAGTCTGTGTTTGAAGGATATATCCAGGATGTCAAACTGACTCAGCAGCAACAACAGGTTAAAAAGACAAAGATAGTTAGAAGCTAAAGCCGAACTATAGGCTACAGATCACAGTGTAAAAGTGAACCACCACATCACTGCTGATCACCACACAAGACAATAAATATAAAGGGAAATTTTGCTGATACTGAACCAGCTGTGTGGCATCGCAGTGTGTGCAGATGAATGGTCAGTCCGCTGCCAGACTGTCGGGGGGCTCCGCGGGAAGGCAAACACCATTCTTCTGCACACACTGTGATGACACAGAGCTGGTTGAATATCAGCAAAGTTTCCAGCATTCGTATACATTCAGTGGGCTATATCTTTAGTAGCTTGCTAGCTAACCCTACACTTTTCGAAGGGTGCGTTCACGAGCAGTCACTCCTCATCTCTGATTGGTTGTTTTAGTTGACGTGTGGTGAATTTAAATGCCATTAGAAGCACTACAAGAAGGCAGAGGAACATGATTTTTCCCATGGATTATCTGTCTCATGTACTACTGTCTGGCTGTAGTGACAGTTTCAGCAAAAAGTTATGTGTATGTGACTGCAGCTTTAATGATGTTGCAGTTGCCATTAGACCATTGGGAGGGCTGGGACCCGTTTTAGCTCACAGGACATTCCGAGCATTAAACTGTACACACAATTTATCATTCGGACTGTTGTGAATCACAAAATATGTCGGGTTAGATAAAGGTTACATAAGGCCAAAACAGTGAAAAACACTCTCTCTCTCTCTCTCACACACACACACACACACACACACACACACACAGCCTTGTCCTGAGTCAGATGACTGTCTGCTCTATAGCTCTGTACGTGTGTGTTTGTATCATGGGAGAATAGAGCAGCTGAGAGAAACTGTGGCCGAGCTGAGAAAATGCCTCCACGCTGGAGTCCTCTGACCCAGTTATGTAGAGCAGAAATGATTACTGGACTTTCCTGGAGGAGCTGTTGCATGTTCTCTCATGATGCACAAACCGTGTGCTCGAGTGTATGAGTAGCCAACCGTCTGCACAGTTATTCAGAAGTAAATTATTGCTGAGAGATGCATTAATCTGTAACTCTGATGGGCAGGCCCATGCAACCAGCATGATGACTCAAATGCAGAGGAGAGCTCACTTAAGACATCTATACTTTTATTCTAGGAATCTTTAAAAATCTGAATTCATAGTAAGCAGCGGCAGACATGTGAAGTTAAATTGAATATAATAATCTCAAGGAAAACCTAAAATATTGTGATATTGGGCAGATTATTGGGTGTTGCTCTTGTGTGACAAAGTTTGCACCTTAAAATGTCATTATCAAATTACATTACTGCATGCATTTTATTCATTCTTATAAGTAAAAAAAAAACTCCAAGTTGATAAATGCTTTCTATATAAATATTTTTGCCATCTTCAGAGACTTTTTCTCCAAAGTGAAAATCGCCGGGAAAAGGGAAAACCCAAGGATCAAGAAAAGCTGTGAACCTCCCTGTCCTCTGGGTATGACACACATACACAAACACACTAACAAACACACACACACACACTTCACAGCATATGCATCTAACTTACCCACTCCACCAGCTTGACGAAGCCCAGAGGCTCCTTCAGAGGCGACAAGTTCAGCCGAAATCCGGTCATCATGATTTGCGCTTCTGATCTAAAATCTTTACCCAGTTGTTCCTAAACTGTGGATGTTGGTCCAACAGGGAGGAAAAAGGGGGAGTTGTTTGACAGAGTGACGTGGTTTGACTGCCGACGCTGCAAAAAAATTACCACACAAGGTTATTTTAACTGACTTTAACGACCCAACTTTGCGCTGAAGCAACTGAGTCAGATCACTTCCAGGGAGGTGAGATCATTCTGTCTAGTGGAAGTACAGCTTGATGCGTTTCCGGAGCTTTTAACAAGAAATGTCAATGGCAAAATCACTAGTTGAAGTGGACATTTTTTGCAGTGTAGCCTGAAAACTGAGTGGCCAGCGCTCCACTTGGTGATGCGCAAAATACGCAGGCGGTGTAGCGGGTAAAGAGCGTAAAGTGTGCCAAATTACGCGTCGCTTTTGGTGAGAAAGCGTAATGTGGATTAAGTTACAGGAAAAGGATGCTAAATTACAAAGCGTGACTCTATCTGATGGCTTACACACTGTTGCAAGAAAGTTTTTATCATCTACAGGGCTGGGAAAAAACTCCAACTACTAAACGATCATTGTATAAAATCCCACTAAGACAACTTCAGCTACTGTGGATTATCAGCACAGAAACACCAGGAGGGTAAAGTTACAGCCCGAGACCCAAAAGACATCAGAAGTGCCCCATTGAGTTTTCATCGGATCCATCCGCCAGAATCCGCAGACTGCCTCCTCCTTGCTGAGTGTGCAGTTACTGTGAAACGCCTTCTCTGGTGCTGACTGGGTCATATGACTCTCAGAGCAAACCACAGATCCTCAAAATTCCTCCAACAAAGAAAAAGAAAACCTCAGGGACTGAGGCAGCAACTGAACGGTTAAAATTAGTAGTAAAGGGGTCATTTCACAGGACCGTCCGCTGACATTAGATTATTTAATTTGATTTATTATTAAAGGGGATCCTCCACTGATTTTACATGTTGAGAAAACCTGTAATGGCACTGCTTCCAAATATCAGTGGCATTTCTGTGCTGACTTACAGTATCAATAAAGATACACTGCTCAAAGGTGCCACCAAGGGGCGTTAGGAGGGGCAATGGCCACCTTACTTGAAAATAATTAGGGCTGCTCCCTGAAAATTAAAGATCTGAATGATAAGCTCGAGACCTCTCAGACAACTGAGTTTCTTTAAGTTGGGCAGTTGTCTTTTGTCTTTTCTTGTCAGTCAGTGTACTTTTGGGGACGTTTCGGTCATCGGATTTAGCTGCAGAGTGAGCGCAACTCACTGTCATGCTGCTCTATCGTACAGGCAGCTGCAGACCCAGAGTCAGGGTGAGTCTGAGTCAGACGGAGGCAGCTCCCTGGAGGATGAGAGTCTTTGCCCGGTCAGCCTCTGGGATAACGTTATTTTCTGCCTTTTGCTCATGAGTGGTGAATTTATAGCTCATATATATATATATATATATATATATATAGCTTACAGCGACTTGGCTTTTGTTCGATAACTAATGTCGGCAAAAAATGTTGTTGCATTATTTGCAATCTGGCATTAATATGGTTAGCTTGTTTACTAAAATACTTGAAACATCACTTTCACCCTAAACGTCCTGTCGACCCCTGTTCGAACCCTGAAACTGCATGGAAAAAAAGGAACAAAAAGTCAAATATTTGTATTGAACAGCCAAATCCGATTTGACTGAGATAGCTCTGAGTTGGCTACAGCCCAAAAAATAATTGGAGGCCTCTGTGTGGTGTCTTTAGAGTGCTTTCAGACCTAGAGTTGTCTTGCTTTGGTCTGAATTGGTTGACATCAGAGCTTATGAGCAGTGAGAATTGTTGCTCCTCGCTTACGGAGCTGTTCCTTCCCTCCACTTGACAGTGCTCCACGCTCAACTCAGATTTAACCCCGCTCCACTCTAAACACTCACCACTCACTCAGTTTCCTTTTGAAAGTCCTTTGTTAACTCCATTTTCAACTCGCAGCAGACAATTTTTGACAGGAAATAGTGTTTGCACAATACACAAATGTGGTCTGGGTTGGGCATTGAGCAGTACTGGAGCAAAATTGAAGTGGGAGATAAAGCAACACTCCAACTTTTAAAAAAATCCACTCTGTGCTTCATCCCAAATCCTTCCCTTCGCACTCTCCTCACATGGTCTGGTTGATATATGGGCTCTATTGAAATCAGTCCAGCTCTAACAGAGAGTTACTCAGCCTTTAAAAACAGCTGTGTCATGTCTCCTGTAGCTCAAGAGGAGATTATCAAAGTATGACAAAAATAAACCCAGGGTCATTTCAACTTCAAGTCTTCAAGTCAAAGTCTGTTGCTTGCTCCGTCCAGCGCCCTTCAGGAAGTATGAGGTGTTGGTACTTACAATGGTAAACTGGGTCTGTAAGAATGTTATGATAGAATACAGATGGCTGATGAATTTGACGTAGAAGACTATCGTAGGTAGGATCATGTCTTTCGTTCAGTCATCCGAAGAGCCGGATGAGATCCTCCTGTGGGCTGCGCACGTTTGACACTCCTGCTTTAACAATATTTCTGGCAGGTAGTCTATAAAAAGGGGCTGTGATACTAAACACTGCTGATGCTTTATTCTACAGACTCATAATTTAGGAATACTTTACAAGAAGTTTCCTAGAAACAAGAATGTAATTTGGTAATTCTCATGAGGAAAATGGTGGCAGGGTTAAAGCTGGAGTGTGGGACTTTAAATCCTAAATTAAAATCCTTTACATTTACGCCCCTGCCAAATGAGTCTGCACAATTCTAATTGAATAATTTAGACATCCGGAGGGAGCTCGGAGTAGAGCCGCTGCTCTTTTGCATCAGAAGGGGTCAGTTGAGGTGGTTCTGGTGTCTAATCAGGATGCCTGCTGGACACCACCCCTTGGAGGTGTTCTGGGCACATCCCACTGGTAGGAGGCCCAGGGGCAGACCCAGAACACGCTGGAGGGATTACATATCTCATCTGACCTGGGAATGCCTTGGGGTCCCCCAGGTGAAGCTGGAAAGCATTGCTCGGGAGAGGGACATCATGGGTGCTTTGCTTGGCCTGCTGCTCCCGCAATCTAGCCCCAGATAAGCGGGTGAAAATAGATGTATGAAAGAAAAGAAGGGAGTAAGGGAAGACGCAGATGTCACAGTACTGCTTGCCCTTATTCACGCAGGAAGACCTGAAGAGAGCGCTCACTGGGGCGGGGGAGATGAGGCAAGCTCACCTGTAGGCATATGTTATAAACACGCACGGACAATGTTTCTGTAATTACTCTTAATGCCAGAAGAGAGGAGACAAAAGCTCCGCACTCTGGCTTTAAATCAGTGAAGTTCCAATTAATTTACTTCAATTAAATGCTGACCTCATCTGAAGAATGGGTTCACAACAGGTCAGCTACACATGCAAACGTGAAATTCACCTACAGACTCAAGCAATATGAAAAATAAAACTTTTCACAAACAAATGAGATATAACTGAAATATAATTTGCCATTTTTGTACATTGGTGCAGTTTTTCTGTCGTCCCTGGGCGAACGAATGGATCATCGTTCTTTCATTTGAAGAATTTGTTATTTATATTCCAGAACAGATAACCCGTGGTATTCAGGAGATGAGGAGTGAAATGTCTCGCATGTTTCGATCTAAATGTGTTGACATATGGTATAACCCAAAACTACGAACTTGTTGTCTCATATAGCTACAGTGTGGAACCTTACATGAAGTATAATCTAAACATACGACAAAGATCCCCGTGTGCACAGTTGCGCTCAAGAACATTCCCATTAGCCTTAGAGACTGGAAGGTTTAACGCCACCCTAGAGGAGGGCAGAATTTGTTCACTTCTTGTTTTACTGTCCTGTATATGAAGACATAAGGTATGTACTTTTCAGTAAAATGACCTACGTATGATCTATGTATGTTGATTTCTTTTGGTGGGATGATCATGAAAAGGTGGTTAGTTTCAGAAAGGGAACCTTAAAAATCAATCTATGGTTCCAAAAGCCTGGACCCAGAAAGATGTTTAGCGTAACTGCCAAAATGGGGCCCCTAAAGACCTCGATATTAGTGGCTCACTAAATAGAGATGGTATTTGAGCTGAAAATGTTAACTCGAAAAAAGTGAAATCATTTTGACATCATACACAAGTAGGCAAAATAAATCAACCATTCCAAACTGACAGGGTGGCATCTTTAATCAATGTATTGTTGACAATATAGCAAGTTATGTTAGTTAAAATATCAGTTGTGTTGGGAGAGAATTTGGGACAACCAACATATACATACGAGTAAAACAACAACAACATAAAGAAAAAAAAGTATTCACAAACAGTTTGTCGTCCATCACGCACACACGATGCATTCACACAGGACTACACACACACACAAACACACACACACAGAAGCTAAAAGCTTGACACTCACAAAAAAACAGTCACACTGCCAGTTCAGTCAAGCAGGTTTGGATATTATTCTGTTGGTACAAAAACGGTCGTTCTGACGAATAAAAGAAGAAGAAGAAGAAAAAAAAAAGAACCTACTCTATAGCATGGTCGTCTCCCTAACCTGCCTCTCTGCTTTCAGTCAAACTATTTGTGGTATGTACAAGTGAGAAGGCAGTATGGCCGCATCGTTTGTAGTAAGGATATTTACTGCAATGTTTCTGGCATTTCTTTTTTTTCTCCCTTGTCATACAAAATAATATTTCTCTGAGGTAAGAACCGAGACAGTATCAAAATAGTAAAATCTGAATTTTACTTAAATGCACCACATAACTGGGAAAAGAAAATGACAACTGTGTTGTTGTGTCGATACTCTGGAACTGGAAAACAAATGATCTGACGGATGACAGTGGCGACAGTTGGAAAATAAAGGAAACAGTGTGTCATTGTTTCAGTAGCTGTGTTGTTTACCAGCTTGTCTTGTGTTTAAGCAGGTTGGTCTGAGCGAGAGGCGAGAGACGGGAGTCGGTGACATCACAGGCTTCGTCGAGGTTTTTCCTAAAATCACAGAGAACTTGCAGGGTCAGTGTGCGTGAGAAGAAACAGATAAAGTCACCTAAGGTCTAAA